CAGGAGAAAAACTTGAGAAGGAAATAGACATCTCTGCCTCGTCATCATCATGCATTTGATATCATACTAAAGGTGGCGTAAAGGGATCATAACATCTAATTACGTAATTTGAAAATATTTGTACAGGCTCTGAAATCGTACACTGCAGACAACGGAGAGAGCAACAATCACATGTGACCATGACTCAAAATAGAAGATCTAATAGTTGAAACTTCGGGTAAGCTAGAGTATACTGATTTCACCATATGCCTAAGGCTGAATTTGGAGAAGGAATGCAGTTAATTTCATTCGTTCGATACATTACCAACGTTCTTTGCTAATTGGTGTGACTGCGCAACGGGTAGGTACTACTAGTACAGCTCAAAATTAGAAGGCAACTAAACAGCAGTATCTTTTATAGGAAAAGTAGACATTCATAAATCTGTTGACACAAGTGGAGCAAATGTAGGAAGTTGGGGAGTTTCGTCTCAAAGAGAAGTCTCTATATTAGGTTGTTGCAAAGGTTCGTGTATTTTTACCCAACCTCAATTATTTTAAAATCGGAAGTTTTGGCAGCATGTTTGGAAATGATTTAATATGCTTCTCCAAAGGCCCAATATGCTCAGCCAGCTCATTTTTTCCAATTTATGAGAAGTGCGGAACTCACACTAACGTTATAACGAGGTAATTGGTTATGTTCATTACACTCATTTCTCATGGTAAGAGCTTGTTGCAAGGTTACGGTAGAGCACTGTGTAGGGAAATCACTGATTTGCCTAATTAATATACTGTGGGGTTGGTTATACTGGACAGAAATTATAAGCATTTGATATGATATGATAAAACATTTAGGTAAAGATGTAGACCTTCACGCTGTAGAATAATTGATTTTAACAATCCATCGTATATACAACTTGGCTCGGCAATAAAGGTTGAAACTCTGTTGTAGGAAATAGATACGGTTTTCGTAATCAGCACATCCGATTACTCTACAGAGTTACTATACCAATTTCAAGCCTCTTTCCTTCTAAAAAGTAGTTGTCGGTTGAGCTTTTGGTCTGTAACTTTCCAGTCACTTAATTAAACACACTTGAAATCTGAATATAAGCCAACTGTACTATTATAAAGGAACTTCTTCTATCAAATTATGATGTTCTGCGAAAGTTTCCAATTTCTAAGAATCGCTTCAAGTTTGGAAAAAAAGGCTCGAACTTACACAAATCAAATAAATACTCTCTGCATAAGAGCACAAATGACAATTTTATGATGAATCTCATGTGACATATTGCGAGGAAATGATTGAGGCAACGTGCTCTCGAGTTTAAACTCTCGTGATTGTTTGACAAGCACCCAAATCATTATTAAGCTTAAACTCGAGAGCATATTGCCTTCAAGTTAATTCCAATCATGTCCTCGTAATATATGACATAAGAATCATTATAAAATTCTCTTACTTATCAATTGTATGTGGTTGCGAATATAACTTATAAACAGTCTCTTTTGATTTTATTGTATTACTGAAAGTGAGCTCTTGGTTTTGCATGCATATCAAAGAACTTCCGCAGGTTAATTAAACAGTGCTACAGCTTGGCTCATTTTCATCTTCTCAGACAATTATTTGGACCTTTCGCGAAATCCATTGATATCTTCCTCTGGTCACATGCAAAAATTTTGCATGTGTTCCTAGATGCTGAACAGGAGTTACGCAAATCCCTTGTATTTTCGCCGAAACATCCAATTAAACCTTACAAAGCTTCAGGATACCCCTCTCAAGTTGTTTATCATCCTGTGGTGAATCGGCTTTCAAAAACTTGCGCTTGCACGGGATTGCACAGCTTGACAGTTCATACTCAATTATATGCTGTGAGGTGATTACAGTACCTCTGATGACAAAATGTTAACATGTCTGATAGGAAACAAAGTGGAACGCTGTTAGTTTGGTGTAGCCGCATGCATGACACGTGTACTATTGAAGAGTAGATGTGATGGTCTCAAATATATGTTATATCTGCTTAACGATTCCAGAAGAAAGTTGTGAGGGAAAACAGCCGGGGCTGCAGCCGCTTAGCATGGGCAACATGCAAATGACTTCAAGTGTATGAACGACGTAATAATAAGCTTGCAAATTATTATGCAACGGTTTTTATCTGCCGAGATGTCGTCTTTTGCGACACATAAATGCTCGTTGACATGCTCAAGCGAGATTTAAGTGCCGATAGGAGCAATGTGTAGTAATTAATGTGCCCATTCTCCAGTTCAAAAATCTCAAATAATTTACACTCGCTTAAACTTCTTCCAAGAGAGTAATTCAATAAGCGAATAGACGAAGCTGACGAAGTACATTTTGGTCTTACTTCGATGAGCGCTCTAACATGCCTTTACTTGTCACTCATAAGGCTTGTCCTTGTTAAAGCGCAAGACCTATGTGTATGTGCTTCGAATGCAAAATTTTGTTTCTGATCCGATCCGGATCAAACTTTATCCAAATGTATTTTGGCGCACTACCGAAGACGTAGCCACTTCATCTGAGAAAATATCGATTGATTCTTGATATATTAAATTTCTGTATTTTATGTTCTGAATAACTGCTATTGATACAATAGAATAAGTTGATCTGATTAATATGATAACCGCTTAACAATCTAGGTCAGCTTTATTCATTTGTATCAATAATAATAATTGCACTAGTCAGTAAAAAGTCGATTTTGACAAACTGCTATTTTCCAATATCAGCAACTGATGCTCGAAACTAGATGCTATGAGAATTTTGAGGAAGTCATTCGCAAAGAAAATTTCTTACAAATTCGTCGTGAATGACTTCATGCGAATCGGGATGCCAGAAGAAGAGGAGCATAGGATCGGAAGATTTGGATCAGGGCTTTAGAATGAAGATGATAACTATCTTGTTGGGTTCTTATCCGCCGCACGTTTTTCATGACAACTCCATCTTCATGAAGGAAGAACATTGGAGGTGAACATGGGAGTTATCCTACGGTACAACTCATGCAGGTGGTGCTTATTGGAATCTCAGTAGTAGCATTTTTCAGCAGTGGTTCAGCTCACCGTCCCCCTCAAGCGCAAGTGCGATTCAGCCGAAAGCTGGAAAAGAAGATCTGACACCATGTTGGAGGAGGGAGAGAAGTAGTATATGACGACTCAGATTGGAAGAGCTCCTGACCACTTGTGACGGACCCATCGAGGAGGCCAACAAAGGATTACGACCTGCTTCTTAGAGGACTGAGGGTCTCTGCTTAAAGTGCCTCGATACATAGAAGAAGAAACTCAGAA